AAAAAAAAATCGCGTTATCTCAAAATCAGCTAATCTGAATTTAATTTATTTAAATTCGATCAAGGTGAGTAACAAAATGTTGATCGTGTTGATCGCTCACCTGATCGTTTTAGTAGCCAATAATTTTTAACTTCAATTTCTGGTCGATTCGATCTGATCTAGAAATGAACAGGGCTAAAATTACGTGTCAAGAATTGTCACGTTTGACGTTACACATAATATTTTTTACAATGGTTAAATTATCAAAATGGCTCAAAAGAAATCTCAAGAATAACGTTAAAGAAACATTAGAAGCAACTATCGAACATCTGCTCAAGCTAAAACCTCCCGTGAAAAAAAATAAAAGACAGGCCTTAATGTCTTCATTACAAGATTTAACGAAAAATGATGAAGCTGTACGTAAAGAATATGAACCTCTAAATGCGTGGTTTAATGTTAATAATTCTGAGAAAGAGAGAAATTTAAAAATTGTTGATAAAGAACACCAAGCTAGGTTCAAAAAAGCTCGTATTGTTCAGTATAATGTCTCTTATAGATCAAATTCTGTGCAAACGTAAACTTCAAATAATATCGCAAGTGAACAACATAAAGTTTCTATAAATATTAATGAATCTTAGGAAATAAATTCACTAAATGGACAGAAAGTAAAAGAAGAAAAGGAGGACAACTTATCATCACGAATTCCGCATAAATTTTTATTCTCGGCATCAAAACAAGGTTCATATGTAGAACCAATATTAGAACATATTGAGAAAGCACTTTTTAGATTTGTTGTAAAGAATCGGGACTACATTTCTTTCGACACAGTAAAAGAATTCGCACTTAAATGCAACCCTTCGCGAAATATTGATTTTTCGGACGCAGATATATTGTGTCTTTTAAACTTCATTACAAAATATATTTCTTTGTTTATTATTCCTCATTCCGACAAAACGCTGTTTTATGGCAAGTATAAATTAAAACCGTTAAGTGCTCTTCAATCTTTTAAAACTGAAGCAAGAAACCACCATGTACACGGAATAACAAAATCAGAAGGAAAATGGAATGATGAAAAATTGCAAAGGCTTTCAACCTTGATATTATTTATACAGTATTTTAAATATTTATGTGTTATTTATTGAAATATAATAGGTGACAAAGATGCATTTGAGTCATTGTTGATGATAAAACGGAATCTGAGTTCAGAACTCGTGGAACAATATGCTTTACCAATGAAGAAAAAACACGAAAACAATGAGAATGAATTCCAAGAGAGAAAGAGACATATGACCGATGAAGAACTCAGAGAGTTAACTGATTTCGCTCTGAACATCGTAAATAAACTTGAGTCAGAAAATAAAGAACATTTAAATCAAATTGTGCGACTTGCGGTAGATAAAAATGAGGCATTTATAAATATTTGGCGAACTTTAGTTACCTCAAAAGATGAAGGTGCGAAAATTCGAAAGTTCATTTCTTTGATGAATATTCGCTTTGGCATGGTAAATATTTCAAACATATATTGAATGCTCAGTATTAGAGCCCACGGATTCATGCATTTGCATAATTTCGCATTTATGCACTATAATTTCGCATAACACATGCATCGCACTTTTGAGGCAATTTTATCATTTTTTGCATATTTCACG